CCACACCTAGAGCAGTGCTTTAAATGGATGAATGCATGCATGCATAAAGAGTCATCTTAAGGCAGCATTAAACTGGACAAAATTGATAGAAGCCCTATATAAGGGTACAAAGTGTTTTAAGAGTATCATGAATATTCTGATTCAATTAATGGTCCTTAATGTTTCTAGAGTGACAATAAAGTTGAGAAAGGGTTGTAGGATTAGGAGAAATAAAAATAGGCTATGAGAGAAAGCCCTTAAAAATGTTACTATAATAATAATTTTGTCAGTTTGTTTTATTAATTGTAATTATGTCTACTAGAAAAAAGGGATTAAAAAAGAATGAAAAGAAAGGACAGGAAAAGAAACACACAATAAGATGTTAAGTAGTTGTAGATTTCCCATAGTCAAAAGAATGAACATTGTTTGGGTTCCTGGACTTAAAAAAATGATGATTTTATTCTGTCTTCAGAAATTTTGTAAGTCTGCATTTCAAATTACTTGTTGAATGGATATCAGAAATAATGCTAATGTAAAATTTTTTTGTCAATTCATCTTTCTATGAGAAGATTCATTCCATCGAAGTGTATATATTCACACGAATACTTCTAAGAACAATAGTGCTTTATAAAAGAGTAATTTTAGTTTAATAGCTGTTTTGTTTTCCTTGGTCGATAATAATAATAAAATACCTCATTTAATTAAAGAATGCATTTTATTTTTAATAGTTCAGGATAACAAGTCAGCTTTTATGGGTATATGCAATTCAGCAGAAAAAATTATTGAAAAAGAGACAATTTATTTGTTCTTTTCTTAGCTCATGTGTGTCAGTCATCTGTAAGTTGCTCATACAGAAGAAAAAAATGGTAAGACCTCAGCATTAAAATAAGCACAATCTCAATATTAAATCTTTTAAAAGTCCTGGGGTGGTTAAAACTTTTAATTCTTGAATGTTAGACTGTTTGGCTAATGCTATTTTTTTTTTTGATGAGAAAATTAGATCATTAATTTCTGTAAAACTATTTTCTGAACTACATCCCAAATTTTATGGCTTTTTTTGGTATAAAGAAAGTTTAATTCTAAACAAAAATAAATTAAGGAAAATATATAACAGTATGGTCATAATCACTTGCTTTTAAATAGTGGAAGAGAACGTCATCACAAGTCAAATTTGCTCAAACAATTACAATTGTTATAGACTGAGTCTACTTGACAAATTTCTGCTTTCAGTATGCCTGTAAAGAAAAAGACACGCATTTTTCCTGTTTGCTTTATTTATTAGTTTCAGCCTTGGCAAAAAAAGTTACACATTTGTATGCACATGGAAAAATGCAGTATAACAATCAAATTAGTTTATGTGCTGTGAATATGTGTATTTTGAAATTAGATACAACTAAACTATCAGGAAGAAAAAGATTAGAAGTGATACAACTTAGGTTTTTATTATTTTCTTTGAGACAAATTAACCACTAGTACTTTATCCTCAAACATAAATAAAAAAATTAGAATTCAAGGGTTTTCAGTGAAACAGTTGCTAACATTCATGTGTTTTTGATTTGCCAGGCACTGGTCTAAGCACTTTCCATATTTTAACTCATTTAATTCCCATCACAAACCTATGGGGTTGTTATTAATTATTCCTATTTTTAAGAGGAGGAAATTGATGCACAGAGAGGTTAAGTAGCTTTTCCAGGGTGACACAGCTAGTAAGCAATTAATTACTAATTAATTACAATTAATTACTGAAACGTTTGGGGAACCTCTTTGTGCCAGGCCTATCTTAAGCACCAGGGATGCAGAAGTGAATGGAATAGAAGGGAATAAAACATACTGAGGGTTTACGATTTTAGATAGGGTGGCCGGCAAACTTTCACTGGGAGGGTGACTGGGGTAAATAAGGAATTAGTAAAAAAGAATTTTCTCTGCTATGTGAAATGAAGGAATATTTCTAGGTATGGAGACCTTTAGGAAAAAAAAAACTATTTGATGATAAAGCATCTTGGGTCGATGATTAAATATAAAATATTAACAGCAACCACAGTGCTGGTCCTAGATATTTTTGGCTTTCTCCTCCGAATCCACCCTCTGCTGTTCTTCATGCTCCCCTGTGCCCCAGGAGCTTGAGAAGTATGTGCTACTTCAATGAGCCATGCTGGCCTTTGGTTGCTGGTTTGGTTTGGCCAATGTGAGTCCCAGCAAGAGCTGAAGGGAAGGAGGAGAGAGAGGGTGGATGTTCGTCCCCTTGCCACCTCCCTGAGGTGGCTGGCTGCTTCTTTCTACCAAAGGCTGTGACTTCAGTCAGGTGGCTCCCTCCACAGGACTCTATCCTTTTGTTTCTCATGACTGTTCTCTTTCATCCCCTTCGGGCTTAGAATGGTAAAGATGTCCTCTTAGTACTAGGGGTGCAATTTCTCTAGACCCCACCCACTCCTTTGGGGAATCCCTTGATTAAGAGACAAATGCCTAATTCGAGTGTGATTTCCATTTCCTAATGTGATCCTGACTGACACAGTTGACATATTAGCTACATGGCTCTGTGAGTCTTCACTGTAATGATTTTGAATTTGCTTGTTATCATAAAGTCCTTCAAACCAATGAAAATGTATAAGTGTGTATTTATTAGGTATCTTTTCTGGGGGGCAAAAACCGGAAAGCTGGCTAGACAAATTCTAAAAGATCTCTAACATATTAGGTATCTAACACACTCAGTGCTTGCACTTTCCCTCCATTCTATCCCACTTTTAATTAAACTGTTTATATGATTGACTCTGAAATCCCCTTAAAATTAATCTTGTCTTCAGAGTAGTTTGGGTAACATCTGAGGACACTATGGATGGACATTGTTGGAGCAAGGAAGTACTCAAATCAGTGGTCATTTCAAAAAGAAGCAGTACTTTTACTTCCAGGGAACAATTTTAGGAAATGTTAGGAAGCTGGAGACAAATTATTCCTGAAAAGTGAGACTAATGGAATTTTTAAAGGAACAGTCAAACGTTCTTTTACCTTAAAAACCACGAAGGATAAGATTTTGAGAAAGTCATTTTCAGTATTTGAATAACTTCAGGGGAATTATAGATCATCAATGGCATATAAATGATAGAGGCAGTATACTGTAGAGATTAAGCATATGGGCCCTGGAGACAGAATACCTAGGTTTGAATGCCTACTCTGCCACTTACTTGTTGGATGACCTACCTTGGGCAGGTTTCTTATTCTTACAATAGCTCAGTTTCTTCATCTGCACAATGGGATAACTTCCCTCCAAGGATGGTGTTGTGATAAACAAACAAATTAATACACAAAAAGCAATTAGAACAGTGCTTGACATATAATAAGCAGTAGGAAAAATAGGTTTAAAAAGACATTTTAAATCCAATCCAAGTGAAATAATGAAAAATTGTGCAGCTACAGAAATTAGAATGTTTCATAATAGCATTTCAAAAATGTTCTAAAGATTGCTCAGTGTTGACTATTTTTATTACAGTATTATTAAAATTTGTATAAATATTAAGTTAGGTTTAAACTTCCAATGCTTATGGTTGCTATATGACCATAAATCTAACATAAATGTACAAAACTACAAACCAATAAAATATGAACTTGAGACATTTATTAATGTAATAGATATGTGGCCGAAAGGAAATTGTTGCTTGTTATGAATACTATTACAGCATAGAATCTTTTGGGTTTGATGTACTTATAAAATCTTATAATGGCTCAATTTTACCACCTTTTTAAAAGCTTGCATAATAAGGAAATCTTTGTATAACCTGCCATGATACCATTTTTGTCTTTACTTGGCCCAGATAAATCATTTCGATATTCAGTATATTTTCATTCCTTTCTCATTAGGCAATGACAAAGCAGTACTTCTTGCTGACAGTGTACCCATAAATATAAGCAGACACCCAGAAAGAAAAACTGAGCGGCGGTATTCAGTTATAAGATCATTCAAATGATCCTCAATCTCTTTTTTAATTATCTTATTTTTATGTAAGTAAACACATGACACAAAAAAGAATCCACAGAGAACTCTCGACCCCTGAAAAGCTTCCAAGGATCAGTTTCTGAAACCATGATTTACAGTATGGAATTTTCCCCTCCGAGACTGTAGATATTCGTTAAACTAACTTCAGTAAAATTTTAGTGAAAACATATCTGATAGTCATGATATTATGAGGCAGGTAAAGAATGAATCCTTTAAAGAACAAAAAAAATGTGTTAAATGGATTTCTGGGAAACAATGCTATATGGAGCATTATTTACACCTTATAAATAATATAATTTTCTAAATCATAATTTTTTTAATTTTTAATTTTTATCTTTATAGGGATGGGTTCTCACTAAGTTGGTCTGACTGGTTTTGAATTCCTGGCTTCAAGCAATCTTCTTGCCTCAGCCTCCCAAAGATCTGGGATTACAGCTGTGAGCCACCACACCTGGCCCATAGGAATTCCTTTTAACCAATGAAATAATACTGTAATAATTTAAAAATGAGATGAGCCTGAGCACAGTGGCTAACACCTGTAATCCCAGCACTTTGGGAGGCCGAGGCGGGCAGATCACTTGACCCCAGGAGTTCGAGGCCAGCCTGGGAAACATGGCAAAACCTTGTCTCTACAAAAAATACAAAAATTAGCCAGGTGTAGTGGAGCATGTCTTAGTCCCAGCTATTTTGGAGGCTGACACAGGAGGATCACCTGAGCCTGGGAAGTGGAGGTCGCAGTGAACTGAGATTGCACCATGGCATTCTAGCCTGGGTGACAAAGGGAGACTGTCTCAAAAACAAAACAAAACAAAAACCACAAAAAACCCAAAAACCAATAAATAACAATAAAAATGAGATGACAGATATATTACAGCAGCACAAACACTATAATGCTTAAGAATTTAAAAACATGTAAAGGTTCTGACTTACCTCGTTCATTTTTGATCTACATTGTTGCATTTCCACAGTAAACCGAGAGTAAACTCAAATTTACACAGTAAAATGAATCTTTAGCACTATCTTTCAAATATTCAGCAAGATATTAATGTCTCGATTTTCCATTAAGATCATTGTAGACGTTATTCACCTAAGTGGGAAAACTGGAAAAATGAAAATTTGATCAGAAAATTAGGCTTTTAATTTTGATTTTAAAAAGTTTATTGCTATATGGACACTACCATTAAGAGAAGTATTACTAACATCTAATAAAAAAGTTCCACATACAGGATGGATGCAGTGGCTCATGCCTGTAATCCCAGCACTTTGGGAGGCTGAGGTGAGAGGATCAGTTGAACCCAGGAGTTCAAGGCTGCAGTGAGCTGTGGTTGAGCCACTGCACTCCAGCCTGGGTGATAGAATGAGACCCTGTCTCAGAAAAAAAAAAAAAAAAAAAAAAAAAAAGTTCCACATACAACAAAGCAAATGAGTAGTAACTTCAATATCAAGGATCAATGTCACTATCAATAGCATCATGACAGTAGTTAACATTTATTCTAGTTTCTGCCAAATGACAGACACCATGCTAATTGCTCTATCTGGGTTTTCCAATCGAATCCTCGCAATAACCTTGTGATTAGGTACTATTACACCCATTTTGCAGTTAAATAAGTAGAGTAGCCTGTCTGAAGTTACATGACCAGTGAATGGCACAGTTGAAATTTGAACCTGGGCAACCTGACTGCTGAGGCTGTTTATGTGACTCTAGAATGAGAAGTTTCCTAAAATAGTTCACTGGTTGGATCAGTACGTACAAGTAAAATATTTTTTTCAGTCCCATTAACAACCCCCTTCTCAATATGGACTTCTCACACAGTTACTAGCTTAAACCATAAATAAGGCTTCCATATATTAGTATTTAGATTGAACTATGGAGAACATCATTGCTAATAAAGTATAAAAAAGTCATTAATATCCCCTATTTAATAAATTTACAGTTATTGAGAGTACTAATTTTTTTCTTTTCTCACCATTAAATATAACTTTTATTGGTGTGTCTTACATACTCTTTATCAACTTGAGGAAGTTCCCCCCTATTCCTAGTTTGTTGAGAGTTTTTTTTTTTTTTAATCTTTAAGTTCTGGGATACATGTGCAGAACGTGCAGGTTTGCTACACAGGCATACATGTGCCATGGTGGTTTGCTGCACCCATCAACCCATCATCTACATTAGGTATTTCTCCTAATGCTGTCCCTCCCCTAGCTCCTCACCCCCCGATAGGCCCCAATGTGTGATGATCCCCTCCCTGTGTCCATGTGTTCTCATTGTTCGACTTCCACTTATGAATGAGAACATGTGGTGTTTGGTTTTCTGCTCCTGTGTTGGTTTGCTGAGAATAATGGTTTCCCGCTTCATCCATGTCCCCACAAAGGACATGAACTCATCCTTTTTTATGGCTGCATAGTATTTCATGGTATATATGTGCCACATTTTGTTTATCCAGTCTATCATTGATGGGCATTTGGGTTGGTTCCAAGTCTTTGCTATTGTGAATAGTGCCACAGTAAACATACGTGTGCATGTGTCTTTATAGTAGAATAATTTATAATCCTTTGGGTATTTAGCCAGTAATGGTATTGCTTGGTCAAATGATATTTCTGATTCTAGATCCTTGAGGGATCGCCACACTGTCTTCCACCATTTACACTCCCACTAACAGTGTAAAAGCATTTCTATTTCTCCACATCCTCTCCAGCATTTGTTGTTTCCTGACTTTTTAATGATCACCATTGTAATTGGTGTGAGATGGTATCTCATTGTAGTTTTAATTTGCATTTCTCTAATGATCAGTGATGATGAGCTTTTTTCCATATGTTTGTTAGCTGCATAAATGTCTTTGAGAAGTATCTGTTCTTATCCTTTGGCCACTTTTTGATGGGGTTTTTTGTTTTTTTCTTGTAAATTTAAGTTCTTGTAGATTCTGGATATTATACTTTTGTCAGACGGATAGATTGGAAAAATTTTCTCCCATTCTGTAGATTGCCTGTTCACTCTGATGATACTTTTTTTCTGTTATGCAGAAGCTCTTTAGTTGAATTAGATCCCATTTGTCTATTTTGGCTTTTGTTGCCATTACTTTTGGTGTTTTAGTCATGAAGTCTTTGCCCATGCCTATGTCCTGAATGATATTGCCTAGGTTTTCTTCTAGGATTTTTTATGGGTTTAGGTTTTATGTTTAAGTCTTTAATCCATTCTGAGTTAATTTTTGTATAAGGTGTAAGGAAGGGATCCAGTTTCAGTTTTCTACATACGGCTAGCCAGTTTTTCCAACACCATTTATTAAATAGAGAGTCCTTTCCCCATTGCTTGTTTTTGTCAGATTTGTCAAAGATCAGATGGTTGTAGATGTGTGGTGTTATTTCTGAGGCCTCTGTTCTGTTCCATTGGTCTGTATATCTGTTTTAGTACCAGCAGTATGCTGTTTTGGTTACTGTAGCCTTGTAGTACAGTTTGAAGTCGGGTAGCGTGATGCCTCCAGCTTTGTTCTTTTTGCTTAGGATTGTCTTGGCTATAGGGGCTCATTTTTGGTTCCACATGAAATTTGAAGTAGTTGTTTCTAATTCTGTGAAGAAAGTCAGCGGTAGCTTGATGGGGATATCATTGAATCTATAAATTACTTTGGGCCATATGGCTATTTTCACGATATTGATTCTTTCTATCCATGAGCATGGAATATTTTTCCATTTGCTTGTGTCCTCTCTTATTTCCTTGAGCAGTGGTTTGTAGTTCTCCTTGAAGAGGTCCTTCACATCCCTTGTAAGTTGTATTCATAGTTATTTTATTCTCTTTGTAGCAATTGTGAATGGGAGTTCACTCATAATTTGGCTCTCTGTTTGTCTGTTATTGGGGTATAGGAAAGCTTGTTTTTGCATATTGATTTTGTATCCTGAGACTTTCCTGAAGTTGCTTATCAGTTTAAGGAGATTTGGGACTGAGGCAATGGGGTTTTCTAAATATACAATCATGACATCTGCAAACAGAGAAAATTTGAATTCCTCTCTTCCTATTTGAATATTCTTTATTTCTTCCTCTTGCCTGATTGCCCTAGCCGGAACTTCCAATACTATTTTGAATAGGAGTGGGGAGAGAGGGCATCCTTGTCTTGTGCCGGTTTTCAAAGGGAATGCTTCTAGCTTTTGCCCTTTCACTATGATTTGACTGTGGGTTTGTCATAAATAGCTTTTATTATTTTTAGACATGTTCCATCAATACCTAGTTTATTGAGAGTTTTTAGCATGAAGGGGTGTTGAATTTTATTGAAGGCCTTTCCTGCATTTATTGAGATAATCATGTGGTTTTTGTCATTGTTTCTGTTTATGTGATGGATTACTTTATTGATTTGCATATGTTGAACCAACCTTGCATCCCAGGGGTGAAGCCGACTTGATTGTGGTGGATAAGCTTTTTGTTGTGCTGCTGGATTTGGTTTGCCAGTATTTTATTAAGGATTTTTGCAATGTTCATCAGGGATATTGGCCTGAAATTTTCTTTTTATGTTGTGTCTCTGCCAGGCTTTGGTATCAGGATGATGCTGTCCTCACAAAATGAATTAGGGAGGATTCCCTCTTTTTCTATTATTTGGAATATTTCAGAAGGAATGGTACCAGCTCCTGTTTGGACCTTTGGTAGAATTCGGCTGTGAATCTCTCTGGTCCTGGGCTTTTTTTGGTTGGTAGGCTATTAATTACTGCCTCAATTTCAGAACTTGTTATTGGTCTATTCAGGGATTTGACTTCCCTGGTTTAGTCTTGGGAGGGTGTATGTGTCCAAAAACTTATCCATTTCTTCTAGATTTTCTAGTTTATTTATGTAGAGGTGTTTATAGTATTCTCTGATGGTACTTTGTATTTCTGTGGGATCAGTGGTGATATCCCCTTTATCATTTTTTATTGTGTCTATTTGATTTTCTCTCTTTTCTTCTTTATTAGTCTGGCTAGCAGTCTATCTACTTTTTTAATCTTTTCACAAAACTAGCTCCGGGATTCATTGATTTTTTGAAGGGTTTTTTCATGTCTTTATCTCTTTCAGTTCTCTGATCTTAGTTATTTCTCGTCTTCTGCTAGCTTTTGAATTTGTTTGCTTTTGCTTCTTTAGTTCTTTTAATTGTGATGTTAGGGTGTCAATTTTAGATCTTTCCCACTTTATCCTGTGGGCATTTAGTGCTATAAATTTCCCTCTAAACACTGCTTTAGCTGTGTCCCAGAGATTCTGGTACACTGTGTCTTTGCTCACACTGGGTTCAAAGAACTTATTTATTTCTGCCTTAATTTCATTATTTACCCAGCAGTCATTCAGGGGCAGGTTGTTCAGTTTCCATGTGGTTTTGCTGTTTTGATTCAGTTTCTTAATCTTGAGTTCTAATTTGATTGCACTGTGGTCTGAGAGACTGTTTGTTATGATTTCTATTCTTTTGCATTTGCTGAGGAGTGTTTTACTTCCAATTATGTGGTCGATTTTAGAATAAGTGTGATGTGGTGCTGAGAAGAATGTATATTCTGTTGATTTGGGGTTGAGAATTCTGTAGATGTCTATTAGGTCTGCTTTGTTCAGAGCTGAGTTCAAGTCCTGAATATCTTTGTTAATTTTTTGTCTCACTTATCTGTCTAATGTTGAGAGCTGGGTGTTAAAGTCTCCTATTATTATTGTGTGGGAGTCTAAGTCTCTTTGTAGGTCTCTAAGAACTTGCTTTATGAATCTGGATGCTCCTGTATTGGGTGCATATATATTTAGGATAGTTAGTTCTTCTTGTTGCATTGATTCCTTTACCATTATGTACCGTCTTTCTTTGTCTTTTTTGATCTTTGTTGGTTTAAAGTCTGTTTTATCAGAAACTAGAATCTCTGATAGGACTAGCAAGTCCTCCTTTCTTTTGCTTTCCATTTTCTTGGTAAATCTGCCTCTAGCCCTTTGTTTTGAACCTATATGTGTCTTTGCACGTGAGATGGGTCTCCTGAATACAGCTCACCAATGGGTCTTGACTCTTTATCCAATTTGTCAATCTGTGTCTTTTAATTGGGGCATTTAACCCATTTACAATTAAGATTAATATTGTTATATGTGAATTTGGTCTTGTCATTATGATGCTAGTTGGTTATTTTGCCA